GGCGCCGGGCAGGTGGGCAGCGAGTCTTTGCCTTCCTGGACACAGAGCACAAAGATGGCAGGTGGGCTTAAAACTGCTCCTCAGCGTGCCACTCACTGCAGGACAGCTGAGCTGAGCAGTGGGATGTTCCCAAGGGCTGCTCAAGTCCTGATTGTATTAATTGTATTAATTTGACTCCTTTCGAGCGTCGCCTCTAAAGCAACTCCCCCCTCCCGTGGGCAAATCACCCAGGGGAGAAGAGGAGAAGGAGGGCTGGACCAGCCCAATTCTCAGTGCTTAGTCCCACCAGCCCAAAGAACAGGCTCATCTGCAAAGATCCCTTGCCCACACTCCACCACACTCTTCCTACTCCAACAGCCACCACTCCTGGTTTCCCTGCTTCATTCCCAGCTTACAACAGCAGCATTCCCACAAAAAGCCAGGAAAAATGCACTACTCTGTGATCACACACAGTGTGAAGCTTGGGATTAAAGCATTCCAACGTGTGGCTCTGACCAACTGACTGTTTAGCAGGGAAAAAGGGGAGTCCTGGCACAGGGATCCTCCTGTGTGTGAAGGGAGATGGGAGTGGGCACCTTCTCTTTGCAGACTCCTTTCACAACGTCGGACATCCTGCTCTCCAGCACAGGCTCTCCTGGGATTTTTGCTGTGCTGCCAGGCAAAGGTGGGAAATTTGATGCAAGCAAGTCAAACTTTGGTGTCTGAGTCTTTGTTTCTGCTGAAGGCTGAGGTCTCTGGAGAGGGAAAACACCCGTTAACAGAGCCGTGACACCGAGCAGGAAAAGCCCCGAGCAAGTGCCAGGGAAATTCATGGAAAAACTGTTAACCCCCAGTTTAATCCCAGGGTTTAAGGGCTCTGCCACTCCTTCAATAACTGCACTTTGAGCAAGGCCCTGCAGTAAGGGAAGGGGAACTCACTGAAACCCGGTCGTCGTCCCGTCTCCTCCGACCTCGGAACACGTTCCTCCTTGGAAGACAAGAAACCCTCAGTCAGTGCCTTGGCCCTGCTCTGCACAAGGGAATTTGGGATTCACTGTATCCCTGGGATTCCATCCTCAGGAGGGGCCAAGGCTCTGAGTATCACCAAGCACAGGGACAGCTGTAATTCTACAGCAATCAACTTATTGGCCTGACTTCTCACCAATCTGCCCTGAACGTTTCTTTTTAAGTGTCTAAACCCTGAATTCACAGAGCAAAGATAAAACAACTTCATCTTAAAATATTGCAGAGCATCAAACTGCCAGCTGAGGATCTGCTTATTGTTTACAGCAACGCAGCTGCCAACTTGACCTCAGCAACTCTTTTAATTCTGGGGACAAATCAGGTATTTTAAAATTAAGACCCCTCACTGTCTTACTGCCAGAGTAAACAGCAGGTGTAGACTCGAGCAGGAAGCTGGTCCTGCTCCCAGCTCAGCTTTTATCACTCCTGCTTTAGTTCAATGCCAGTTTTCTCGTGGTTGGCCTTTACAGAAATGTTATTTTGTGCCCGTGGCTGGTGACCTTCGGGCCGAGCCCCACCTGAGCAAACAGGACACAGCCCCTCACCTGCCCCTGCCGACGCCGTAATCCCCGTTCTGCTCCAGCTGGGCCGTGGCAGAATCCTTCTGGGAATAGCCCTGCTCTTGGTGCCCGGTTAAGGGGCTGCTGTGCCGCTCCATGAGGAAATTCCTGGAGCTGGCTCTGCCCAGGTCCCCCATGGGCACGGCCCCGAGGGCGGGCGGCCCCTCCGCGTGCTCCGAGCCGGAGGAGGAGCGGAAATGGGGCTTCACCCTGCGGAGACACAGAGCTGAGGGACCCCCACAGGGCTGGAGAACCACCCACACAGCACCCACAGCCCACAGCCCACGGGATAACAGGATATCCTGAGCTGGAAGGAGCCCCCCAGGATCAAAGCCTCAACCCTGGCGTTGTCAGCACTTTGCTCTGACCAGCTGAGCTCACCCCGGGGCCAAGAGAGCAGCAGGTCAGGAAGCACCACAGCTCAGAAGCTCTTTCCTATGTACATTCAGGAGGAATAAAGACATTTGTCTTCCCCACCTCCATGGATTCCTTCTGTTGTGGTTTTCCTGCAGCCTCCTCTCAAAATGTTGTCGTTTACAGGAAATATTGAGATCGTTGCCCAACAGATACCAAAGGGGGAAAAAAAACACCCCAAACCCAGTGGTGGCAGCAGAGCCAGAAGCCCAAAGAGGGATTTTTCCTCTGTCTGGGCCTGCAGCAAAGGCACAGGGCACTGCAGAGGGACCTGGAGAAATAAGCTGAGCCCAAGGAACAAACACATCTGGCCACAGGTGAACAAATGAACTGAGAGATGAGGCCAGGAGTAGATGGTGAATGAACATGGGAGATCAGGCCAGGGCAGCTGAGCCCCCCTCCAGGCAGAGCCAGGCTCAGCCTCGCTGTTCCCATTCCCAAACCCCCAGCACTGACTCTGCAGTTCCCAATCCCCAGACATTTCACCCTGGTATTGATTATTCAGCACTAAAGCTGCAGTTCCCTTGAGCACAGACACAGCTTTGCACGCTCAGTGCTGCTGCAAGTTCAGGTACGGGGTCCTAAATGCAGAATTCCCCAGAAAAACTCTGCCCCAGCACAGCATGGAACAGTTTTCTGGGGCAGCATTTGGGTGCCTTGGACTGTTTTCCACTCCTGCCTTTTCCAGCAGCACCCACCAGCTGCAGAAAGGGAGACAAGGAATTTAAACTCTCTGTCTCTCTCTCCCCTCTGGTCAACTCTGCACATCTCCTAATTTAAGGACAGCAGGAGGATTTTGCACACTTATTGTTTTTAAACAGTCTCATTACAACATTCCATGCAATCAGAAGAAACTCTCCTATTGCCAGCCGAGGTCTGACTCCTCCATCTCCCTTTCCCACAACGATGTTGCAACAAATCAGGACAAAATAAATACAAGTGGCTTAAACAAATGTTTAGCTACAGAGAAAAACCCAATGCTTAACTATTAACTGCCTAAAGGACAAGACAAATCAGGCTTAATGGGCCAGCACAGAAACCCAAAGGCAGCAGCTGAATGAACCCCTCTGAACGAGCTCCTCTGCAGCTCAAGAGGGGATGTGCTGAACAGGGATTAATTCACATTTCACAGCTTTGAGAAGCACCAAGAACCAGTTTTAAGGCCCCCAATAAAAGTTTTCCATCAGCAGAGCCCATAAAGAGGAGGAGGAGGAGGAGGAAAGTTGAGTGAATTCTTCCACTTTGTTGAAGTTGTCACTGTGCAGCCCTCAGATCTCATAATCTTACCCGTCATCGAGAAGGCCGCGGTCTCATCTGGGCAGAAGAGCAAAGCAGGAAAGATGAGGAAAGATAAAGGAGGAAAAAACCAAAAAAAAAGGCAGAGAGAAGGAGAGATGATGTGGAGAGAGCAGGAGGAAGGAAGAGGAGGAAGGAGGAGCAGGAGCAAGGCTGCCCAGAGCCCGACCGTGACCTGTTCTCTCTTAGCGCGATACTTGATCATCACTGGGCCACAACCTGCACAGTCCCACCCCTAAGGCTGCCCCTTCAGGGGGTGAAGTTGCACAAAGTAAAACACAGCCAGGATTTTAGGAGCTTGGGGATTGCACAGCTGTGATCTCTGGGGCACACGGGGCGTTCCAAGGTGGGAACGTTGGGAACGCGCCGACACTTCTGGGTTTGCCAGGCTTTGGTTGGGGCACAACTTGAGGCAAAAGAAAAAAAAGAGCCAAACCACCTTTGTAAAGATGGCAGTTGGGAGCTCAGCAGCTGCAACTGGAGCAAGCAGAGTCACCCTCCCAGTCCCACAGGCTGTGTCAAGGCTCTGCTGAGTCACCGCAGAGCAAATCCCGAAGTTCCCCTTCTGCCAAAAAGCCCCCGACCTGAGCTGCACCCACAGACCCTTCTGCCAACAGCCCCTGACCTGAGCTGCACCCACAGACCCACTCAGAGCCCTGGCACTGTCAGCTGATTCCTCCAACAACACAAAAAGCAATTCCCTTGGCCCCTCTCTGAGCTGCACACAAACAATTCCCACCCCCAGGTTACCACTCCATTGTATTCCCAGAGCAACACAAAGTGTTTCCTCCTCCCCAGTGTTTACAGCTGAGTCCTCACAGCTCTCAGGAAAGATGGGGGATAAAGCAAATAAATTACAGGAACAGACAGCAGAGCTCAGGGCATGCAACTCCCACTGCAGGAACCCAAGGGCTCTGCAAGGCTGATCCCAGCAGGAAAGGCTTATGTTAGTGCTGCTGGAGTTCATAATCTGCGTAGAACAAACATAATTACAAGTATTAACTTAAGAGGAAGTTAGTTATTTGTCTGCAGAAATTCCTCTGAGGCTTTTAAAGGAGTTACCTTTGCTCTCTCCAGCACGTGTGTCCAATATTTTTCTTTTTTTTTTTAAGGATTTTAAGCTGCCACCTTGATTTTTTTTTTTTTTTCAAATCAAGTTGAAAACCATCACACAGGTTTGATAAATGAAATAAATAGCCTGGTCCCCCCCTGTGACACACACAAGGAACACTAGAGGATGTCAGCAGTGTAAGTTTTCCAAGAGCTGTCTTACCGATTCCTATGGAATGGGCGACCTATACTCAGGGAAGCAGCATTTGTTTTATAGGATCCTGGTGTGTTAAAGCCATTCACAAATCCACCATTGGGAAAGGGGGCCTGCAACAAAGACACAACACTCTCAGTGTGGCTGAGCTGCAAAGGAAAACGTCGGCAGGTTTATGAGGAGCTTCAGCAGGGGGTAACTTCACCCTGGGCTGGAGCATCTCCCTGGTGGGAACTCACTTCTCCAGACAAACCAAACCCCCCTGGGAACAGCCAGCACCTGCTTTAGCAGAGTCCTGGAGAAGCTACAGACTTCTCTAGTAACACCAGCTACTGGACAATGGGATGTCACACCAGAATTCCCTGAAATAAGTGGCAGGCAGTGGCCAGGCTGGCAGCCTGTCCTGCTTGAGGTCCTGGAGCAGGTCCAGAGGAGAGCAACGAGGCTGGGGAAGGGACTGGAGCACAAGTGCTGTGAGGAGAGGCTGAGGGAGCTGGGGGGGCTCAGCCTGGAGAAGAGGAGGCTCA